TCTATGAGAGGGGACATTGAGAAGAGTCAGACTCCTTATGGGAGGGAATGTTGAGAAGAGTTGGCTATGAAAATTGGAATGAAGATCCTACAGTAGAGCATTCTACAATTAGTACTTGCTAAAATAATGATCACATGTGCAAAGGGTGCCATCATGCATATATCCTAGGGTAGTATGATGGCTATATATAGCCTTGACCCTGAGTTTGGAGGATAGACGTTGATAGCAGCAATGGCTTTAGGGAACTGCTAGTGACCGTTATGTACAGGACACAGTGAAACATTCCAAAAGCTTGCGTTCAGCCTCAGAGACTTTACAGCATGCAGCAAACCCTCCTGTAAATGAGCTTCTTTCTTAGGCTACGTTCACACTAGCCTTGTGTGCAGGCGGCAGAGAGGCGTTTGGGAAGCGTTTTTTTACCGCTTCCCAAACGCCTCTGCCAATTCTGCACATTACAGCACATGGTGCTGTTCTAACGGGAGCGTTTGCGTCGCGTCGCGGCAAAACGGACGCGCCTCTGGACGAGTCAGGAGGCTTTGAAGCCTCCTATTCTCGTCTATGGTGCCGCTCCGCAAACGCCTCCTATTCTCGGCATTTGCGGTGCGGTTGCGACGCGGTTGCGGGGCATTTGCGGAGCGGTAACACCACTCAAACTGCATTATAGGCGTTTGTGGGGCGTTATTAACGCTCCGCAAACGCCTAGCAACCGCCGCTAAACCGCGCATGCAGCGTTTGCGGAGCGTTTGCCGAGCGTTAAAAAACGCTCAGCAAACGCCGGACCAATGCTTGCCAAACGCTATAGGGGCGTTTGGCAAGCGTTGGTAAAACAGCCAAGTGTGAACGAGCCCTTACTGCTGCCACAGGAATAGAAAAGGTTACTTTGTTAGCTCAATGAGATAAAAAGGCTCATATGACCATACATTCAAAGCTGGCGCATATATTTTGGTGCAATAATTTTACAAATATCAAGAAATGCATACTGTATTAGGGTTACATTTACAGGTTTTAAAACTGTCATATATATATATTATATATATATATATATATATATATATACAGTCAGGTCCATAAATATTGGAACATCAACACAATTCTAACATTTTTGGCTCTATACACCACCACAATGGATTTGAAATGAAACGAACATGATGTGCTTTAACTGCAGACTGTCAACTTTAATTTGAGGGTATTTACATCCAAATCAGGTGAACATTGTAGGAATTACAACAGTTTGCATATGTGCCTCCCACTTGTTAAGGGACCAAAAGTAATGGGATAATTGGCTTCTCAGCTGTTCCATGGCCAGGTGTGTGTTATTCTCCCTCATTATCCCAATTACAATGAGCAGATAAAAGGTCCAGAGCTCATTTCAAGTGTGCTATTTGCATTTGGAATCTGTTGCTGTCAACTCTCAAGATGAGATCCAAAGAGCTGTCACTATCAGTGAAGCAAGCCATCATTAGGCTGAAAAAAAACAAAACAAACCCATCAGAGAGATAGAAAAAACATTAGGCGTTGCTAAAACAACTGCTTGGAACAGTCTTAAAAAGAAGGAACGCACCGGTGAGCTCAGCAACACCAAAAGACCCGGAAGACCACGGAAAACAACTGTGGTGGATGACCGAAGAATTCTTTCCCTGGTGAAGAAAACGCCCTTCACAACAGTTGGCCAGATCAAGAACACTCTCCAGGAGGTAGGTATATGTGTGTCAAAGTCAACAATCAAGAGAAGACTTCACCAGAGTGAATACAGAGGGTTCACCACAAGATGGAAACCATTGGTGAGCCTCAAAAACAGGAAGGCCAGATTAGAGTTTGCCAAACGACATCTAAAAAAGCCTTTACAGTTCTGGAACAACATCCTATGGACAGATGAGACCAAGATCAACTTGTACCAGAGTGATGGGAAGAGAAGAGTATGGAGAAGGAAAGGAACTGCTCATGATCCTAAGCATACCACCTCATCAGTGAAGCATGGTGGTGGTAGTGTCATGGCGTGGGCATGTATGGCTGCCAATGTAACTGGTTCTCTTGTATTTATTGATGATGTGACTGCTGACAAAAGCAGCAGGATGAATTCTGAAGTGTTTCGGGCAGTATTATCTGCTCATATTCAGCCAAATGCTTCACAACTCATTGGGACGCCGCTTCACAGTGCAGATGGACAATGACCCAAAGCAGACTGCAAAAGCAACCGAAGAGTTTTTTAAGGGAAAGAAGTGGAACGTTATGCAATGGCCAAGTCAATCACCTGACCTGAATCCGATTGAGCATGCATTTCACTTGCTGAAGACAAAACTGAAGGGAAATGCCCCAAGAACAAGCAGGAACTGAAGACAGTTGCAGTAGAGGCCTGGCAGAGCATCACCAGGGATGAAACCCAGCGTCTGGTGAGGTCTATGCGTTCCAGACTTCAGGCTGTAATTGACTGCAAAGGATTTGCAACCAAGTATTAAAAAGTGAAAGTTTGATTTATGATTATTATTCTGTCCCATTACTTTTGGTCCCTTAACAAGTGAGAGGCACATATGCAAACTGTTGTAATTCCTACACCGTTCACCTGATTTGGATGTTAATACCCTCAAATTAAAGCTGACAGTCTGCAGTTAAAGCACATCTTGTTTGTTTCATTTCAAATCCATTGTGGTGGTGTATAGAGCCCAAAAATGTATATATATATATATACATATATATACTATATTGCCAAAAGTATTGGGCCAGCCCTCCAAATCATTGGATTCAGGTGTTCCAATCTCCTCCATGGCACAGGTGTATAAAATCATCACCTAGGCATGCAGACTGCTTCTACAAACATTTGTGAAAGAATGGGTCGCTCTCAGGAGCTCAGTGAATTCAAGCGTGGTCCCGTGATAGGTTGTCACCGGTGTAATAAGTCCATCTGTGATATTTCCTGGCTGCTAAATATTTCACGGTCAACTGTTAGTGGTATTATAACAAAGTGGAAGCAACTGGGAAGAACAGCAACTCAGCCACCAAGTGGTAGGCCACGTAAAATGACAGAGCGGGGTCAGTGCATGCTGAAGAGCACAGTGCGCAGAAGTCGCCAACTGTCTGCAGAGTCAATATCTAAAGACCTCCAAACTTCATGTGGCCTTCAGATTAGCACAAAAGTGCATAGAGAGCTTCATGGAATGGGTTTCCATGGCCAAGCAGCTGCATCCAAGCCTTACATCACCAAGTGCAATGCAAAGCATCGGATGCAGTGGTATAAAGCACATCACTACTGGACTCTAGAGCAGTGGAGACGTGTTCTCTGGAGTGACCAAACATGCTTCTCTGTCTGGCAATCCAATGGATGTGTCTGGATTTGGCAGTTGCCAGGAGAACGGTACTTGCCTGAATGAATTGTGCCAAGTGCAAAGTTTGGTGGAGGTGGGATTATGGTATGAGACTGTTCTTCAGGGATTGGGCTTGGCCCCCTAGTTCCAGTGAAGGGAACTCTTAAGGTGCCAGCATACCAAGACATTTAGGACAATTTCATGCTCCCAACTTTGTGGGAAGAGTTTGGGGATGGCCCCTTCCTGTTCCAACATGACTGCGCATCAGTGCACAAAGCAAGGTCCATAAGGACATGGATGAGCGAGTTTGGGGTGGAGGAACTTGACTGGCCTGCACAGAGTCCTGACCTCAACCCGATAGACCACCTTTGCGATAAATTAGGGCAGAGACAGCAAGCCAGGCCTTCTCGTCCGACATCAGTGCCTGACCTCACAAATGTGCTTCTGTAAGAATGGTCAGACTTTCCCATAAGCACACTCCTAAACCTTGTGGACAGCCTTCCCAGAAGAGTTGAGGATGGTATACCTGCAAAGGGTGGGCCAACTCAATATTGAACCCTAAGACTTAAAGTTCATTTGCGTGTAAAGGCAGGCGTCCCAATACTTTTGGCAGTATAGTGTGTGTGTGTGTGTGTGTGTGTATATATGACAAATAATATTTGATACATGACATAGAATTCCCAAAGCACTGTGCGCTAGCCAAAGAGAAACAGTACAGCAGAGCAGCTTGCTTTGCAGCTCCCTTTGTCTGATTGAAACCTAGCCGTGTGATGAGGGAGGAGTCTCTTCTCTTATGGCTCACTAAGTTTTTGAAGCTAAGTGAAAAGGAGAGAAGAACCCAGCTGCTGGATGGATTGCAGATGGCATAAAATTATTAGTATGCAATATTGTCAATATTTCCTCGTTAAAAATGCAATATTTAAAAAATATGTATTTTTTTATTCTGGACAATAATAAATAAAAAAAGATGTATGCAAAACCATGTTTCCATTATAGTGGACTTATCCTTTAACTATAAATGTATAAAAGGCTAGCGCAAGGATATACTTCACCCACGAAGGGGAGATCTCAAAGTGCTGGGGAAGGTCACCGACTCACCATAAATTTAATCGGTGGGGTCCTCCAAAGCTGGGGTCATGTCAGAAAAAATTTGTGTAGTGGATCAAGAGAGACCACCTAGAAAGGGGCTTAAAGGAGAACCAACCACGGTGTAATCAAACCAAACAACTTTATTGAGATTAAATTTATGTAAGCATGTTAAAGCCAGTTTACTAGTTGTCAGCACCCACTGTTAGTCTTGAGATCGTTGGCCTGATGTTATGCTCTACATGAGACCGAGTTTATGCTATGCAGAGAATGTGAGTGGATGTGCGGTGCCCGGGCCTGTATGTTAAGGTGAGGACATTATCTAACCTCATTTTAATGGTGACTGGAGGATTGTCGGCCACTTGGCCTAATTTTCCTTAAATTTAATCTCCATAAAGTGTTTGGTTTGGTTACACCGCGGTTGGTTCTCCTTTAAGCCTCTTTCTAGGTGGCCTCTCTTGGTCCACTACACACTTTTTTTCCTGACTTATCCTTTAAGACTGGCCAACCTGTTGAATATTTGTTAGCACATTTTGCAAAACTGACCAATTAGGATCTTCCTGTGGGTGCAGCTGTCATTCTCTCCCGCTGAGTTGTCTCTTCTGCTTTCTGCAGGTTCCACGGTCTGGCATCCCGACTGTAAACAAAGCACCAAGGCAGAGGAGAAGTTGCGGGTAAGTGTCCTCCCGTCCTTGACAATGTGTTTCAGACCTCTATAATGAGGACACATTTATTCAATACTAAACTCCTATACCAAAACTTCAGAGGGACATCTACAAGAACGGTGGCTGTGTGGCAATGTTAAATATAGGGGTAACATACCCTTTAAATTATTTTCAGTAAAAGGTTCATAAATGAGTAAAATCTGTGAAATTATTGGAAGTAATTATTTTGCAGAGTTTTATCTATCGGCCCATGTGTGATTTTCCCTGAGTACCCCACGACAGGGTTGTTTTGCATCACTGTGACTTTATATCAGCTCTTAGAGGGTTGCTGCAGATTGTTTCATTGTGTGAGTCTCCGGCTGACTCTCATTCTGGGACATCGGTTGTGACCTCTGTGCTGACCAACTCAGTGTGTGGAAATTCTGAGAAGTTGGTTCAGAGTCACAGTGAAAGTGATCATTCTGCTCTGATCTTGGCTGTTCTTTGGGACTGAAGAATGTTCTGTTCTGGGAAATCACATAATTATTTATTGTTGTGGATATCAGGACTTAGCAACAGAGCTTAATATGGCCACACATGAATCAAATTTTGTCCAATTCCTGCTGAATCAAAATTCGAATCATGGGTGAACCTTTTAGCACTATCTGGGCTAGATGGAACTTAATCTTTCAATCAACTGTTGTTGATGGGCATTAGAGAAAAATTATTTGCTGAACAGCACCTCTGTCTAATTAGGATGGAGGTCCTCCAACAGTGCAGAGTATTTCAGGAAAAGAGCGTGAGACAGAGGAAGGAGCAGAGTCCTCCAGCAGAGCAGAGTATTTCAGGAGAGGAGAGATGGATAGAGGAAGGAGCAGAGTCTTTCAGCAGAGCAGAGTATTTCAGGAGAGGAGAGTTGGAGAGAGGAAGCAGCAGAGTCCTCCAGCAGGGCAGAATATTTCAGGAGAGGAGAGTTGGATAGAGGAAAGAGCAGAGTCCTCCAGCAGAGCAGAGTATTTCAGGAGAGGAGAGTTGGATAGAGGAAGGAGCAGAGTCCTCCAGCAGAGCACAGTATTTCAGGAGAGGAGAGTTAGATAGAGGAAAGAGCAGAGTCCTCCAGCAGAGCAGAGTATTTCAGGAGAGGAGAGTTGGATAGAGGAAGGAGCAGAGTCCTCCAGCAGGGCAGAGTATTTCAGGAGAGGAGAGATGGATAGAGGAAGGAGCAGAGTCTTTCAGCAGAGCAGAGTATTTCAGGAGAGGAGAGTTGGATAGAGGAAGGAGCAGAGTCCTCCAGCAGGGCAGAGTATTTCAGGAGAGGAGAGATGGATAGAGGAAGGAGCAGAGTCTTTCAGCAGAGCAGAGTATTTCAGGAGAGGAGAGATGGATAGAGGAAGGAGCAGAGTCCTCCAGCAGAGCTCAGTATTTCAGGAGAGGAGAGTTAGATAGAGGAAGGAGCAGAGTCCTCCAGCAGTGCAGAGTATTTCAGGAGAGGAGAGTTTATATAAAGGAAGGAGCAGAGTCCTTCAGCAGAGCAGAGTAATCAGTATATTTTACTCCTGTCACACTTGTTGGATGGGTTTGATGTCATACCTCTATACAGTATTAATGTGCTGAGAACTGTAGTACAGATCAGCCTCTGATTCCACAATACACATTCAGTTATATGTCATGTCTCTGCAGAGATTACCTCCCTTATTTCCGAGGTTCAGACAGAGGAAGGTATTGTGTTGTTATCCAGTGACATAACTCTATTTCAGCCTCTGTACAATTAACATCACTGTGTGACATCCTCCTGGGTCCCCTCTTGGCCTTTGGGGTATTTGATTCACGAATTGTGTTGAATTCACTTGTTACTCCCTGCTCTGTAACACTGACACCACATACTAACTCACCATCTTTTTTTTTTTTAGTCTTTGCATTTTTTTTGGCTTTTTTTTGTTTGAGAAAAATATACAGAGACCTGAGAGAAGATACAAGGTTATAAATGTACTATTATTATTTTTATTAATGAGCTCCCTTTTCTTACTTATGTGTGTTTCTTAGAAGTGCTGGGGCTAGGGTTTGTGTATACAATCAGTACACCCTTTTTGAAATGTAGATTTTAATCAATGTCTCAATGAACACAAGAACAATTTCCAAAATTTTGACAAAATTGAATTTTTATAGAACATTCGTTTAGCTCATTAAATTGAAAGTAAGATTAATAATATAACTTAGATTACAAAATCTTCAGTTTGATTCAAATTAGTTGATGCAAAATGAATACACCCCACAACAAATACTACTCCATCTACTATGACCTCCATGATTTGTAAGGACAACACCAAGTCTTCTAGACATGGAATGTTGGCAACATATTGCAACATCTGTCTTTTTCCATTCTTCAAGAATGTCTTCTTTTAGAGCCTGGATGCTGGATGGAGAGTGATGCTCAACTTGTTTCTTCAGAATTCCCCACAGGTGTTCCATTGGGTTCAGATATACCTGGCCACTTAATTACTTTCGCCCTTTTCTTCTTCAGAAATGCAATAGTGGCCTTAGATGTGTGTTTTGGATCATTGTCATGTTGTAAAAGTGCACGACGACCAAGGGCACGGAGTGATGGTAGCATCTTCTCTTTCAATATAGAGCAGTACATCTGTTTATATCATCAATGAAATGCAGCTCCCCAACACCAGCAGCACTCATGCAGTCCCGCAGACACTGCCACCACCAAAGTTCACTGTAGGCACCATGTATTTTTCTTTGTACTCCTCACCTTTGTGACACCATACAATTTTGAAGCCATCAGTTCCAAAAACATTTATATTGGTCTCATCACTTCAAAGTACAGAGTCCCAGTAGTCATCTTTTTCAGCATGGGCCCTGGCAAATTCTAGGCGAGCTTTTATGTGCATGGGCTTTAGAAGAGGCTTCCACCCCAGTTTAGCTTTCTACTTCTTTAGCTAACTGCAGTGAACTTGTATAGCGATTTTCTTCAACCCTTCTCATCAGAAGATGCTCCTGTCGAGGTGTCAGCTACCATGGACGGCCTGGACGTCTCTGTGAGATGGTTGCAGTTCCATCTTTGTTAAATTTTTGTATCACTTTTGCTTCAGCATTCTGACTGATACGTAAACCTTTGACGATCTTCTTGTAGCATTCACCTTTCTTGTGTAAAGAAATTATTTTCTTTCTCAGGCCTTGTGACATTTCTCTTCCATGTGGTGCCATTGCTGACAGCATGAAATGGGAAGGGGTTTTATTTGTTAAGTAATGCCCTTTCATAATCAACTGTGTGCTGGACACCTGTTTAATGAATAATTAGACTCAACTGTAGTTGAATTCTTACTAATTAGGAATTTGTTGTCTAAAATGTATCTTTGTTCCTAAGACTTTCATTGAGGTGTATTCATTTTTATAACGTGTTCTTGAATGAATTCGTTCCGAAAAATATATTTTTTTGTGTGTGCCGATGAACAAATCTTGCTTGCAGTCAGTGGCCCACATTTGTATTTGTAGTATAGTGTCCCATGGAAAATGTTGATTCTGAAAGTAAAGGTTTCCTGACAAATCTGTTGGGGTGTATTCATTTATGCTGAGCACTGTATATAGGGTCATCTAGAGCTAAGGCACACCAACCTGCAAGCAAAAACCGCTACAGATAAGTAATGCCCCTAATAGAGATATTCAACTGGATGGATCGAAACAATATAGCTAAAAGAGAAAACCTAAAATATTTTTTAAATCAAAAAGGAAAAGTCAAAAGGAAAAAATAAAGTTATATCAATATAAACAACAGCAAAAAAATTAAAAAACAGATGGAACAAAAAGAGGAAGTGCCCCTTCACACAGGTGGCTGAACCACAGTTTTACCACCCTCAATCGTCCATCCAAACTCTAAGCAGTCTGACAGGGCTGTACAGGAGCCGCAACTATGACATTTTTAAATTGGGCTGCAGAGTTTACAGGTGACACCTGTAAAAATTACCCATCAAAATCAATGGGGCTGCACCGCGAATGCAAGCCAAACACTTGCCAAAAACAGCTTGCAGTTGTGGTGCGATCCTGCAATGAAACATTGACATTTGCTAATGAAAACTAAAAAAAGTGAGAAGAAAATGTGGGCATCAGGAGTTGACAGTAGAACCTGTTTAATTTTTGACAGTCTCTGCTATACTGCCCTGTGAAAAGAGATCCAATGTGAATCAGAGGGTGGTAAGTTTGCCATCTGAAAGAATTCAAAAAGGTACTGTATATAAGGCCAGACAAAAATGGTTAAAAACAATTAAAAGTACAACTCAATTTTTAAATGTTTTTAATCATTTTTATTGGCCTTGTGTAGCTTTTCCCCCTTTTTTTCCTCTGCTTTGTGTTTGTATTTTGTTGTATATTATATTGATGTAACTTGATTTCTTTCCTTTGCATTTTTCCTGTGTTATAAATATTTCTGATTTTTTACATTATAAGGATTAATGTTTTCTGATTTGTTCATAATGTTTGGGTCATCCAGTTGAGTATCCCATTAGGGGCAATATTTAAAGTATATGTGAGCTCTCACCTCGTAAAACAACCCATTCAGTTTAAAATCAAAATGCATGGCAAAATATTTGTGTATAGAGAACAATAAAAATACATTTTTTTTTCTCTCTGTTTTAATAAGTGATCAAATACCTTCTGTTCTCGGCTGCTTAAGTAGCTCAGAGGAGGAGAAACAGCAGGACCCCAATCGTCCCAGTGAATGACTCTGCAGGGGCATGTTATCATAAGTTTGATTGGATTAGCTCTCAGCACAGCTAGAGAAATGACCATGCTATTCTCTCATGCCTAGTGTGGTCAGTTGTTAACAGGAAAGCAGAGGGACTGTCTCCAGGGATTTCACACAAAGGAAGCAATACAAAGAGAACAGGATACTTTTTCATATGAGTACATGGCAGGGCCAGATCCAGCCTATCTGATCTGGGGGTGAAGTAAAAAAAAAGTCAGGGGTGCATACTGTCAACACTGACACTGACACTGTCACTGACAGTCTGTCACACAATGTCATGACCTGGGAACACTATTATGTAATAGATTGTCATTAGATTACAGTGATTAAACAAAGCCTGTGCCCCCTTATATCAGATGTCCTATCAGATGTCTCCTTTTACATCAGGAGTCCTCTGAGTCCTTATTTTACATTGTGACTACTAATCAGAGTCTCCCTTTACGTCAAGTGTCCCCATCAGAGTGCCCCCTTACATCAGGGTCCCCATCAGAGTGCCTCCTTACATCAGGTGTCCCCACCAGAATGCCTGTTTACATCAGCTGTCCCCACCAGAGTGCCCCCTTACATCATGTGTCCCATCAGAGTGCCCCTTACATCAGATGTCCCCATCAGAGTGCCCCTTACATCAGCTGCCTCCAGCAGAGTGCCCCCTTACATCATGTGTCCCCATCAGAGTGCCCCTTACATCAGCGTCCTCCAGCAGAGTGCCCCCTTACATCATGTGTCCCATCAGAGTGCCCCTTACATCAGGTGTCCCCATCAGAGGGCCCGCTTACATCAGCTGCCTCCAGCAGAGTGCCCCCTTACATCAGGTGTCCCCATCGGAGTGCACCCTTACATCAGGTGTCCCCATCAGAGTGCCTCCTTACATCAGGTGTCCCCATCAGAGTGCCTCCTTACATCAGGTGTCCCCATCAGAGTGCCCCCTTACATCAGGTGTCCCCATCAGAGTGCCTCCTTACATCAGGTGTCCCCATCAGAGTGCCTCCTTACATCAGTTGTCCCCATCAGAGTGCCCCCTTACATCAGGTGTCCCCATCAGAGTGCCCCCTTACATCAGGTGTCCCCATCAGAGTGCCTCCTTACATCAGTGTCCCTATCAGAGTGCCTCCTTACATCAGTTGTCCCCATCAGAGTGTCTGTTTACATCAGCTGTCATCATCAGAGTGCCCCCTTAAATCAAGTGCCTTCATCAGAGTGCCCCCTTAAATCAGGTGCCTCCATCAGAGCGTCCTCTTAAATCAGGTGCCTCCATCAGAGTGCCCCCTTACATAAATCTTCTGCATCAAACTGGCTCATGGATCAGTGGATGCACTCTCGGAGATCTAAGAGGGGCACAAGTAAAATCTGTGGGGGTACAACCCACCCCAGTACTCCCCTAGATCCAGCCTTGATACATGGTAAAGCAGGCACATATCAGGAATATGGAATGTTTAGTTTACATGTTATTTAAATGAAAAAACTCTAAATGAGGTTCCATTTTCACATCCAGGAGGCTGTGTGTATGGAAAAGTTTTTCACACTGGATACAGTAACTTCCACAAGCAGTATAGGTTCATGTTCAGTTGACAGCTGCTGGTTCCAAGGCATGCTGGAACTTGTGGTTCATTATTAGCCACAAATCTATGTTCTCCCCCAGCCCCCTGTCTATTATGTGATATGTTACCTATTTTCTCATGAATCATCTGGGTGGTTCCATAGCGAAATATATATTGTCAGCATTACACCGAGCCTTTGGAGACTTGTAGAACCAGATGGATGAGTAGAAATCTTAAGTGTTCTTAATTCTATAACTCTCAACTCTGACCTGTAATAACCGCCCGCACCCAGATAGTGAATTCACAGAGTGAACACAGCGACCCCGGAGTCACCTCCCTGAATCCGATGGCTCAGGTGAGGATGTTGCTGTTTAGAGGTCTGGAGGTGATTATGAACCCTTCCAATGCTGGTATTGTTATTGCACAGAGATTTTCCAGCTTCTTAGAAAATCTCCTAGTGACATGAACCACCACCCTTCTTAATGGAGGTATTATAAACTCTGCCCATGAATACAATCCTGACATATCGCAATATACAGAAACAATATCATTGTTTAGAAAATCTCTACCTTAGCTCCAGCCTTTCCTTAGGCTAAGGTAATATCATCAGTCTGCTGCAGGCAGGAGGAATCATTTCCTCAGTCTCTTCTCCCCCAGTTCTCAGATTGAAACATTGTAACTTTGTAACAGTTCACAATGTGAGGGGCTGACCTGCGTCAGACACTTGTGAACACAGCCAAAAACTAGGTAGGCACCATGATGGGGTTGGGGTTGGGGTAGTTGAACAAGAAGCACCTGCAGGTCCTAGAACTTTGAACAATAGAAAGATGTCTCTTGTTGTTTTTAACTACAGTATGTTGGAAAAAATCTTGAAACTGTATTTTTATTACATTTTAAAGTTTTTTTTTATTTGTTATTGATTTTGCCATTACTATGTCAAGCATATGACACAGTTTAAGCACTTTTTCTGTAAAGAATCCCTTCCTGTAGTGATGTTAAAATCATTCTTTTTGCATAGACAACTAATGCCCCCTTGTCCTGTTTACAGCATTCCCAGCAAGCTGACCAAGCTGTCACCCACTGCTCTTGATCATGGCTTCTGATTGGGAGACAGTGGGATGGGCTCCTGATCATGTGATTGTGATCACTATGAGAGCCAATCACATCGGTCACATGATACAGAAGCCACACCACATCCTGGGTATTAAAGCCTGCTTAAAGGGCCCCCAGGAGCTGGAGTTAAAGGGGTTAAGCTTTGTTGGGAGTGGAGGGAGGAGATTGTGCGGTTGGTAAAGTTATACTGTAATCAGAATTTTGAGTACAGCTAGAGATATCCAAAGCAGCACTGATGATGTACAAAGGGCAGTAAAACTCATGGCAACCAATCAGAATTCAGTTTGCTATAGTTCATATTGATGTAAGATAAATTGTGATAGGTTCATGCACAACAGGTTGTATGGAAGAATACTAGCTATGTACCCTTTATACCTCTCCTATTGCTCTTTACATATCTTATGATGTCACCGGCTGCCATTGTCACAGGCAATTAAAAGTGACATCACGTCCTGGACCCGCTCTCTGGGTAAACACCTGCAGCCCTGGATGTGTCGGTGGGCATTAAGACGTTGTTCGCCGCGCAGCCCAAATCGCTGCAGACAGAAACGCGGCGCAGAAACATGTTAGAGACGGAGAATTGTACAACCTGACAACGCGCATTACATTTTCTATCCATTCCAAGTTCTCCAGCAGACACAATTTTACCTTCAGGCTGAAACTATTGCAGGGAGAACATTTTCCACCATCAGTAGTCTTGAGACTGTTTACACAACTCAAAGGTTACAGAGGGCCACAGTGTGTCTATAGGAGGCCACATTGCCTTTATTGCAGGGCACAAGTCTGTATGCCTGGGGAAAAAGTAACTTGTATCCTTCTTAGATCTCTCTGGGGCCTCATTCCATTTAACCACTTGTCCACCGGGGCAGATTTCTAATTTTTTGCATTTTAAAATCTGCATTATTTGCTAGAAATTAATGTAACCCCAGAAAAAGTATATATTTTCTTAAAGTAGAGGCCCTAGAAAATACAATGGCGGTAGTTGCAAAATCTGAGCTGACCTATCAATTGGGCATATTCAGTGTGGCAGTGACATGCGGTGGGCTGGGCTAGATGCCAGCCCCCAACAAAGTTTAGTGAATTTACCCTTAGAATGTCTGTTTCGTGTTAGTTCTGCGTTAACTTTTCTTTTTCTTGTTTTGCAGCCCACAAGGTCATCTTCTGAAAGTGTCTATTCCCGGCCTGGATCCAGTATACCGGGCTCCCCGGGCCACACTATCTGTGTAAGTAGTTTCCGTTAGGGACCTATATGGTCAATCAGAGAGACCTACCAAGAATGCCAGCAGACTAATTCAGTACTGCATAGCAAATGACAGGCAGAGAATAGCAACCTACACCACCCTTTCAGTTCTGGAACACTGGAGTTCCTCTATAAGTTGTTATGGATTCCTTGAGCTGTGGTTGATTCATCTCCTGTTTAATGGCACTTGCATGGTCTCGGGGCAAGGCCACTTGATAGAGCCAGCTGCACGGCACCTTTTTAGCTGTCTCTAAAGGGGACATTCTTCACACCTACCATCAATGTAAAGGTGGCATTCTTTACACTGACCACCAATGTAAGGAGTATTCTTCCCACTGACCACCAATGTAAGGGACATTCTTCCCACTGACCACCAATGTAAGGGACATTCTTCCCACTGATCACCAATGTAAGGGGCGTTCTTCCCACTGACCACCAATGTAAGGGACATTCTTCCCACTGATCACCATTGTAAGGGACATTCTTCCCCCTGACTGCCAATGTAAGGAGCATTCTTCACTGACCACCAATGTAAGGGACATTCTTCCCACTGATCACCAATGTAAGGAGCATTCTTCCCACTGATCACCAATGTAAGGAACATTCTTCCCACTGACCACCAATGTAAGGGACATTCTTCCCACTGATCACCAATGTAAGGAGCATTCTTCCCACTGATCACCAATGTAAGGAGCATTCTTCCCACTGATCACCAATGTAAGGAGCATTCTTCCCACTGATCACCAATGTAAGGGGCATTCTTCCCACTGACCACCAATGTAAGGGACATTCTTCCCACTGATCACCATTGTAAGGAGCATTCTTCCCACTGATCACCAATGTAAGGGACATTCTTTACACTGACCACCAATGTAAGGGACATTCTTCCCACTGATCACCAATGTAAGGAGCATTCTTCCCACTGACCACCAATGTAAGGGACATTCTTCCCACTGATCACCAATGTAAGGGACATTCTTCCCACTGATCACCATTGTAAGGGACATTCTTCCCACTGATCACCAATGTAAGGAGCATTCTTCCCACTGATCACCAATGTAAGGGACATTCTTCCCACTGATCACCAATGTAAGGGACATTCTTCCCACTGACCACCAATGTAAGGGACATTCTTCCCACTGATACACCAATGTAAGGAGCATTCTTCCCACTGATCACCAATGTAAGGAGCATTCTTCCCACTGATCACCAATGTAAGGAGCATTCTTTCCACTGATCACCAATGTAAGGAGCATTCTTCCCACTGATCACCAATGTAAGGGGCATTCTTCCCACTGATCACCAATGTAAGGGGCATTCTTCCCACTGATCACCAATGTAAGGAACATTCTTCCCACTGATCACCAATGTAAGGGGCATTCTTCCCACTGATCACCAATGTAAGGGGCATTCTTCCATACTGACCACCCCAATGTAAGGAGCATTCTTTCCATTGACCACCAATGTAAGGGACATTCTTCCCACTGATCACCAATGTAAGGGACATCCTTCCCACTGATCATCAATGTAAGGGGGGGGGGGGGCATTTTTTCTACTGGCAGAATCATGCTTCTAAGAATCTCATGGTCACATCACTGCCAGCTTTCATTACAATGACCCTACTCTGCACTAGGTTGTCTCTTAGAGATCACATGACTTTATCATACTTCCAGTGTTCACTATACTGGCCGTGCCTCTGAGTGGTCCACATGACAACATCACTGTGTCAGCTTTCACTGCATTGCCCCATGTGATCTTATGACATTTCCATGACAGTTTTCACTGCTTTGGTTCTGAAGGATCGAAGGAAATGATCACAGTGTCAGTTTTCACTATAATGGCCAATAGTGATCCTATGACATCATCACGCTGACAGTTTTTACAACACTAGCTCTGAAGGGATCACAAGGTGCTGTCACATGGCCATTTTGCACTGCCTTTGCTTTGAGGGATCATATAGCAGGCATGTGCAACCCTACAGTGATGCTCTTTTTCTTTCCAGGCTAAAGTGGATGATGAGATCCTGGATTACAAGGACCTTGCCGCCATCCCCAAAGTAAAAGCCATTTACGACATTGAACGCCCCGACCTCATCACCTATGAGTCCTTCTATACGTCCACTTATGAAGACCGCCAGGACAGGCAGAGCGTGGGTGAGGTATGTGGGCTCTTCTATCATCACTGTGTACTGGAGTAAAAACCTAAAACATGAGCCGCTAGTCAAATTCTGTAGCATCTTCTCGGAATTAGCCAAATGTTGGTGAACTTTCTTTTAACTCCTTATTCACTGGAAAAAGAAAGATAACTACAGATTATCTTGTGCCTTAAGATGGGTACACACCTATTGAAATTCGGATGGTTCAGCAGGATCTGGCTGAATTTTGATTTGTGTCTACCCCTTCTGTTCAGCAGAAGCCAATCGTTAGACCAAGCTCTGTTGAACGGTCCTGCTGGAAAACCAGCGTTTGATCAGCCGCTGCAGCACTGATCAGTGTATTGTGATGGGGGGTGTCCCTCGCTGTCAGAATACAGTAGCGCAGCGGGGGTAGATCCCTGCATAACCACAATGCTTGTGTAGATGCAAGATCCTGGGATATAATTATTTTTTTTGTGTTAAACTCGCTGGTTGAACAAAAAAGAAAAACTCACCGGCTTTAATCTGCTTTAAACTTCACCACTAACCTTGCCATCTGATTGTACGATCAACTTTAGATTTACAAACAGCTAAGTAGAGGTCTGATAGGAATAATTTAGAGGCCCCCACACTATAATTAGTAAATCTAATGATGACCACACATGTATGGTTATTTAAAACCGGGATATCTTTTTTTCCATATTTACATTGATCCAGCTTGGTTTGCTGTAAGCATCCATATATAACTATCCAGAGGGTGCTGGGTATTCCTAAAATCACTGTAATAATCGTGCTATATTACCAGTGATAGTGGTGTTCTTCCAGGAGCTTTTACCAGTGGCTTCCCCTCTGCACCCTGACCACAGGCAGATGCTCGATCGACAGCACCATCATTTGTAGAATGCCTAGTATTTCTATCAGTGAATACAAGGCATTCTCTGATTGGACAAGGAGTGGAGAAGAAGGCAGATGACATCACAATGTCTACCGCATCCATTTAGAGAACCGCTAGTATAATTGAAAAATACAAGGCATTATCTGACAGGATTGAGGTGGAGAGGAGGGGTGGATAGACCCCCACTTTCTACCCTTGCCCAATCAGAGAATACCTAGGGTGTTGATTTACTAAAGGCAAATATTTATTGGACACAACATTGCTTGTATTTTTTCAATGAACGCAAGGGGATTGATTTACTAAAGGTAAATAGACCAGTGCACTTTGCAAGTGCAGAGTGCTCCAGAGCTTAGTAAATGGGGTGAAGCTCATCACTTTGCAAAGAATACCCCACACACATGCAAGGAAAAATATTTTAAAAATGGCATTTTTGCTTGCAGATGATTGGATGATGGAAGTCAGCAGAGCTTTCTCTCATTTACAAAGTTCTCTAGAGCAAACTGCACTTGCAAAGTGCACAGTCTATTTACCTTTAGTAAATCATCAATCCCCTTGCGTTCATTGAAAAAAATACAAGATATTCTCCTAATGAGAGGGACGCTCTCAGAACTAAGTCATATAGAGAATGCCTTGTATTTTCTTTTATTAATGAATACAATGCATTCTCTGATTGGATGGGGTAGAGATTGTGATGTCATCTACTTGTGTGCAGAGGGGAAGCAAGGTGCTTTATACTTCATGAAAATAAATTAACAAAATACAGACTTTTATTTCAGTTCATATAAATTGTTCTTAAAATCTCAGATTGCAAAGATGCGTGCCATTACATGTTTTTTTTTTTTAACATCTGTACATGAATTAATAACATAACCTTCAGCTATCTCATAACCTTCTATTTAGCTGAATCAATTATATCTAATTGTTGGTATCACATACAGTAAGATAGATATGCAATTAAATTAATTCATCTGAATTAGAGGTTATGAGATAGTCGGAGATATTTGCAGATGTAAAAAGGAAAACCTGTAATGGGACGAACCTTTGCAGTCTGATTATAAAGCAATTTATGGGAACAAAAATAAAAGTCTGTATTTTACAAAATAAAAAAATGAAAGGAACACTTTGAAAACACATCAGATCTCAATGGGGAAATACCTCATGCTGGATATCTATACTGATGTGGACTGAATAATGTGTTAGGAATGTAACGATGCCCCATCATTTGATGGAACTATAAATTATCAACCTACGGAGGACTGAATTCAAAGACACCCCAAAAATTATAGTGAAAAAATTATGCAGCAGGAGAGTCCATTTTGCTGAAATTTCATTGCAGCAACTCAGAATGGTCCTCACTAGTTTGTATGGCCCCCAGTTGCATGTATGCATGCCTGACAACGTCGGGGGAGGCTCCTAATGAGACGACGGATGATGTCCTGGGGTATTTCCTCCCAGATCTGGACCAGGGCATCACTGAGCTCCTGGACAGTCTGAGGTGCAACCTGGTGGCGTCTGATGGACCGAAACATGATATCCCAGAGGTGTTCTATTGGATTTAGATCAGGCGAGTGTGGGGGCCATTCAATGGTATCAATTCCTTCACCCTACAGGAACTGCATGCATACTCTCCCCACATGAGGCCGGGCATTGTCGTACACCAGGAGGAACCCAGGACCCACTGCACCAGCGTAGGGTCTGACAATGGGTTCAAGGATTTCATCCCGATACCTAACGTCAGTCCGGGTGCCATTGTCTAGCCTGTAGAGGTCTGTGCGTCCCTCCATGGATATGCCTCTCCAGACCATCACTGACCCACCACCAAAACAGTCATGCTGAACGATGTTACAGGCAGAATAATGTTCTCCATGGCTTCTCCAGACCCTTTCATGTCTGTCACGTGTTCAGGGTGAACCTGCTCTCATCTGTGAAAAGCACAGGGTGCCAGTGGTGGAGCTGCCAATTTTGGTGTTAAGTGGCAAATCCCAATCGAGCTCTATGGTGCCAAGCAATGAGCACAGGGCCCACTAGAGGATGTCGGGCCCTCAGGCCACCCTCATGAAGTCTTTTTCTGATTGTTTGGTCAGAGACATTCACACCAGTGGCCTGCTGTAGATCATTTTGTAGGACTCTGGCAGTGCTTGTTGTGTTCCTCCTTGCACAAAGGAGCAGATACCGGTCCTGCTGATGAGTTAAGGACCTTCTACAGCCCTGTCCAGCTCTCCTAGAGTAACTGCCTGTCTCCTGGAATCTCCTTCATGCTCTTGAGACTCTGCTGGGAGACACCAGCAAACCTTTTGGCAATGGCACGTATTGCTGTGCCATCCTGGAGGAATTGGACTGTCTGTACAAACTCTGTAGGGTCCAGGTATCTCCTCATGCTACCAGTAGTGACACTGACCCTAGCCAAATTCAAAACTAGTGAAAAACAGTCAGAAAGGTGAGTAGGGAACATATGTCAGTGGCCTCCACCTGTAAAACCATTCCTGTTTTGGGGGTCGTCTCATTGTTGCCCATCTAGTGCACCTATTGTTAATCAGTTTCAGCTGCTTTGGTGTTAATGAAATTAACAACCCCCTCTGCTACTTTACTAACTAGATCAATATCCCAGGAGTTTCATTGACTTGATGCTAGACTCTGATTGAACAGTGTTCCTTTAATTCTTTGGAGCCGTGTATTTTGATAGGTATTTTCATAATTTGGAACCTTTGATGTCCCATATTTTGTATTATATGATGATGACTAATAACAAAATGGACACATAGGGGTTTATTTACTAAAACTGCATGGTGCAAAAGGTGCAGCTCTGCATAAAACCAATAAGCTTCCAGGTTATATTGCCAAAGCTTAATAGAACAAGCTGAAGTTAGAAGCTGATTGGCTCCCATGAACAGCTGCACCAGATTTAGTAAATCCACCCCACTCTGTTTGATAGTGTTAGAGCACTCCTGATCAATTCTGACTGTCAATTGGCCGTCTCCATCTTCAAAGCACTCAAATATCTGTACTGAGGAACCAAATGGAATACAGATCTATTACATGATCAGTACTGAAAATATATTGCATACTTTTTTTCTAGTGTGTTTAGAGTAGGCAAGGGCAAACCCCTGCTCAGTCAGTGATTGGTCTGGTCTCCGCTCCCTCCTGTAGTTATCTGCAGGCAGCCTGTAGTGGGTGGAGCTTCTGGCCCCCTCCCACAGCTCTGCTCTGTCCACAGGCTATGTACAGCATAGTGATGATGTCATGACTACTTTTACAAGGTAATAATTAGGTTTGCAATAGAATTTGGTGCACATAAAGTGGATTTATATCCTTTGTGGCTATTAAGAAATATATTTAAATTAAAGTTTTTGTGCCTGGAATTAACCTTAAAGTTGTTCTACAGTCTGAAGGTTTTTTTGCCTTAATGCAGTAAAAAACCCTCTGTGTGCTCCCCCCCCCCCCCCAAAAAAAAAAAACAAACACTTGTCTGAACCCAACCTTGATCCAGCAATGTACGTGAGAGCAGTGGCTTTTTTCGCTCTCTCCCTCATAAGCTCAGAGACAGTAGTGAGAACCATTGGCTCCTGCTGTTGCCAATCTCAGTCAGGGAGTGGGGGCAGGGTCAAGCCATGCTTTGTGTGTTAGTGGACAGACAGATCATGGATAGGGATTAAGCCTACACGAGTGCCCCCCACAGGAAGTAGCTTGCTATAGGGGCACTCGACACAGGGGGAGGAGCCAGGAGTGTCAGCGGGGGACACCAGAAAAGGAGGATCAGGGCTGCTCTGTGCAAAACTACTACACAGAGCAGGTAAGTATGACATGTTTATTATTTAAATAAATAAATAAATTGAACCTGTATAATTACTTTAAATACAAAGATTGTATTGTAACATGTGATCAGCTTTAAACTCTGAATTTGAGCTTTCTTTTTTCATTCACAATTGTTCCCTGCTGCAAATCCCTAAAATTTGCTCCTCAGTTTTGGGCGTCAGAAGAACAATCTTTAATCTCCATTCAATTTAATTCATGTTTATTTGATTTACTGAGAGGCCTATTTCTAAAGCCTGGGAAAGTATCTTATTTGTGTTTTACCACTAAACATCACTATTTTCCTTTTAGCCCTGATGTCACCCTGAGGAAAATTCCT